AGTGTTTTCAGCAAATGGCACTAGAACACCTGGTATCCATATATAAAAAATTAACCTCAACCCTTTATTTCCATACGTGAAAGTAACTTGAAAGGATCTATGAACCTAAATTTGAAAGACTAAAAACTTTAAGAAGAAATTATAAGGGAAAATGTTTATCAATTTAGGGAAGGCAAGAATTTCCTATGATATAAAAAACATGATGTATAAAAAATTGATAAATGAGATTCCATCAAAATTTAGAAGTTTAAATGAAATCGTTAAGAAAATGAAAAGTAATCCTTAAACAGACCATATTTATAATACATATAACCTATGACCGGAATATATAAAGAACTCTTACAGCTCATTAATAGACAACCCAATTAAAAAGTAGACACAATGGGCCAGGGATTTAGCTCAGTCGTTCCGGCCCCTGCCTCACAAGCGCAAGGTCCGGAGTTCGATCCCCGGTACCAAGAAAAAAAAAAAGTAGACACAAGGAGATGATAAATAGCCAGTACAGCACAAGGAAAGGTGTGCAACAACACTAGAATCAGAAAAATACTAATCAGTACAATAACAAGATTGAATTATATACTCATTAGGGAGATGAAGTTGAAAGTTTTAAAAGAACAAATGTCAGCTTAGGTGTGAACCAGTTAGAACTTCCTAATACTGCTAATGTTAATGTAAAATGATAAAACCCTTTTGGAAACCAATATAGAAATTTCTTATGTTACTGTTAAGAACCAACAGTCCTGTTCTTGAGTTTTTACTTGAGAGGAATGAAAATACATGTTTACAATAGGTTTGTACATACAAGTTGAGTATCCCTTATCTGGAATTCTTGGGACCAGAGTGTTTCAGATTTTCGTTTGAAGTCCACTTGATCTGCAAAGAGGATAGGTACTCCTGCTTTTTTTTTCAGGTTCCTGTCTCATGGAGTATTGTTTTTCATCCTTTAACTTTCAGACTATGAGTTTCTTTTTGAATTAAATGTGTTTCTTTTATGCAGCATACTGTTGGATCTTCCTTCTTGACCCACTCTGCCAGTCTATTTCTTTTGATTGATGAATTAACATTGATGGTTATAACTCATACATATTGACTTATAATAGTCATGACTTTTTCTTTTTGTTGGATTCTCCCTTTTTGTGTTTAATTTCTTGTCGCATCCAACGGATTCATTCTGCTGTGCTTCCTGGTGTTATGATCCTCATTGTCTTTTCCTAGGGTATTGTCTAAATTTTTTGGAGTGCTGGTTTGGTATTCATGAAGTTCTTAAGGTACTCTTTGTCATGAAAGTATCTTATTTCTCCATCAATTTTGAAAGATAATTTTGCAGGGTACATCAGTCTAGGTTGGAAGGCTGTTTTCTTTGAGGGCTTGAAATACATCACTCCAAGCTCTTCTTGCCTTGAGGGTTTGCGTTGAAAAGTCTGCTGTGATTCTGATGGGCTTTCCTTTGTATGTGTTTTGTTTCTTTTCTCTAACTGCTTGTACAATTTTGTTCTTCTGTTGGGTTTCTGGAATCTTAACAAGTATATGCCTATGTGTAGATTTTTTTTTTTGATCAAGCCTAGTTGGAGTCCTATATGCCTCAATTATGTGTATGTCAAGTTGTTTTCCCCTGCTTGGGAAGTTTTCTGCCAT